CATATTTGGTTAGAAGACGCGAACATTGGTTGGCAAAAAATCAGATTTTTCTGAAAAAAATTGGAAAAAATTATTTAAAAAATTTCTAATTTTTTCCTTGACTAAAAATAAGTGGTGCACTATTTTCTTCTATACTTCTAGGAGTAGATTAATGTAGAAAAATCATATTTGGTTAGAAGACGCGAACATTGGTTGACAAAAAATGAATTTTTTCTGAAAAAAATTTGAAAAAATTTCTTAAAAAATTTCTAATTTTTTCCTTGACTAAAAATAAGTGGTGCACTATTTTCTCCTATACTTCTGGCGTAGAATAAAGTAGAAAAATCATATTTGGTAAGAAGATGTGAACTTTGGTTGACAAAAAATGAATTTTTTCTGAAAAAAATTGGAAAAAATGTCTTAAAAAATTTCTAATTTTTTCCTTGACTAAAAATAAGTGGTGCACTATTTTCTCCTATACTTCTGGGCGTAGAATAAAGTAGAAAAATCATATTTGGTTAGAAGACGCAAACATTGGTTGACAAAAAATAAATTTTTTCTGAAAAAAATTGTAAAAAATGTCTTAAAAAATTTCTAATTTTTTCCTTGACTAAAAATAAGTGGTGCACTATTTTCTCTTATACTTCGGGGAGTAGAAGAAAGTAGATAAATCATATTTGGTTAGAAGACGCGAACATTGGTTGACAAAAAATCAGATTTTTCAGAAAAAAATTGGAAAAAATTATTTAAAGAATTTCTAATTTTTTCCTTGACTAAAAATAAGTGGTGCACTATTTTCTCCTATACTTCTGGGAGTAGAATAAAGTAGAAAAATCATATTTGGTTAGAAGACGCGAACATTGGTTGACAAAAAATCAATTTTTTCTGAAAAAATTGGAAAAATTTTTTTAAAAAATTTCAATTTTTTTCCTTGACTAAGAATTGTAAGTTTTATAATTTCGCGCCTTTTATATTTTTATCTTTCTTAGAGTGTCAACACTCTTCTTATATTCAGTAATTGGTAACTCTGATAGTTAGCGAATTCTCCTCGCTCAGCTTGTCGTTTATAAAATCTCATATTCACAAGTTTATTAATAAAACATTCATTTTGTGTGATCTAAAACTTTGCTCTTATTTATTTAATTACTTGCGGACCCTGTTTTCAGTTTAACAGGTTATGGGCCCAGGCTCGAAAGAATAAATTGCGATTATTAGAAAACACGCGAACACCGTGAACGATCGGGAGTGACGCCAACGCTCAGTGCGAATACTCGTAAAGAATCGTGTAATAATAGCGCTATTCATCGATAAGCACGTAAAGCATTATTTACAATTTTTTGTGTCAATGTCCATCCCTTTTCAACAGTGTGTTTCGATATCTGAAGGGTTTTATAGGGTGAACATTTTTATTGTGTAGTAGAAGCTAACCTGAAAACAATCCCGTACGAACGATCGCGAACATTTCTGAAGCGAATCGAGTGACTCCCTTTTACGAACACGCACGAACAATCACGAACTCTTCCGAAGTATACATAGTGACGTGAGTGAAAAAGTTTGTTTACAATGTCAAACCTAGTGAATTCGACGAGGTTAGAAACCCTGTCAAAAGATAATTATGACACTTGGCAAATCCAAGTCGAAGCATTACTTGTAAAAAACGATATGTGGGAGTATGTCAACGGGGACAAGCCGAAACCCGAGATTATAGTCGGAGACGAAGTTTCTGCTGCTGCCCAGAAAACATGGATCACACAAGATCGAAAAGCCAGATCCGATCTCATTTTATATATTCAACCCTCCGAATTAAAACAAAGCCGAGGTTGCGAAACTTCTAAAGAAGTTTGGGATAAACTCAAGAGTATTTACGCGTCAAAAGGTCCTAGGCGAAAGGCGACGTTATTACGGCAATTAACGCAACGAAAAATCGAAGACGGAGAATCATTAAAGAGCACATTTTAAAATTCTCGGATACTGTAGACAAACTCCAAGACATGGAAGTCAATATCAATGGCGACTTATTATCGATCATGTTGCTCAACTCTTTACCAACAAGCTTTGAAAATTTTCGAATAGCTATTGAATCTCGAGACACATTGCCGGACGCCGAAACATTAAAAACAAAAATCATCGAAGAATATGAAGCCAGGAACCAAAAAATGAAGGAGACTGAATCGGGTGCCATGTTTGTTAAAAATCCACACAGGAATAAAAACGCATTTAAGGATAAAAACAACAGTAATCACGAAAACAATAATTCTCAAAGTTCACGCGTAAATTATAAATGTGGCTACTGCAAGAAAAAGGGTCATAAGGCAGCAGATTGCTTTAAAAGAAAAAGAGAGAATACTCAAAACGCGAAAGTTGTCGAAGAAGCATATCTAGTGAATCATAATCCCAATGAATCAGCAAAATGGACAGACAACAGCGAAAATACAAATCGATGGTGCGTGGACAGCGGTTGCACCTCTCACCTTTGCAATGATCCCAACATTTTCACTACGTCACAAGAAATCCAGACCGGATTAAAATTAGCAAGTAGTGCTGTCACACAGATAAGGGCGAAAGGTGAAGTCAAAGTGTCAACGTCTGATGGAACTCAAACAAAAACAATCAAATTATAAGATACGCTCTACGTGCCAGATTTGCGAACAAATCTGCTTTCAGTCGCAAAAATCGTGGATAGAGAATGTAATGTTGTATTTACATCCAAACACGCATTCGTCAAGGATCTCAGTGGTAAAGTTAAAATGATAGCTGATCGAGACGGTGATCTCTATTATCTACGAAATGGTTCTGAATCTGCTTGTGTCGCTACAAGCAATAAACACATAGGTGCAATCGTATGGCATCAACGCTTAGGGCACTTAAATTCTAAGGATATGATTCGTATGTTACAAAATAAAAATGTTTCAGGTATGGACTTCAAAGACATCGACGTTCTACAATCGTGCAAGCCATGCGTCGCCGCGAAACTCACGAGCTCTCCATTTCCGAAACGCATTGAGAGGTCACCTTGTATTCTCGGAATCGTTTATGCTGATCTTTGTGGTCCCTTTCGGACAAAATCAAAGGGTGGAGCGCTATATTTTCTGACTTTGATTGATGACAATACTCGTTGGTGCGAGGTACGCTTTCTCGAACACAAATCAGAGGTAACATCAAAATTTGTAGAATTCAAGAATTTAGTCGAAACACAGACTGGTCAGAAAATAAAAGCTTTCCAGTCAGACAATGGGAGAGAATTTCTAAATGCCTCGATGGACGAAATTTTCAAGAACTCAGGTATCCAACGTCGACTTTCTATTGCCTACACTCCACAACAGAACGGGGTGTCCGAACGGAAAAACCGTACTTTAGTAGAAGCAGCTCGTTGCATGCTAATCCAATCAGGACTCAGCCCATCATATTGGGCGGAGGCCGTTGCAACAGCAAACTACGTAAGAAATAGGTGCATTTCGAAAAGTTTGGATCACGGTACCCCCTACGAAAAATGGACGGGTAAGAAGCCTGACATAAGTCATCTCAGAACATTTGGATGCAAAGTCGAATTCTTGGACAAAACTCCAACTAAAGATAAACTCGCACCCAAGACGATAAAAGGGAATTTTGTCGGTTATTCCGAAGTATCAAGAGGATACAGAATCTGGGTTCCAACCAAGTCACGAATCGAAGTGTCCAGAGACGTCGTGTTTTACGACGAATTCGAAAACACCAACAAATTTGAGGACTTCATCAGCAACGAAACCATTAATGGAAGATCGAAATTTCTTCAAGATGCCGATGGAACATCCGAAACGACCGAAACCATAATCGGTCAGAACCTCCAGAACATTCCAGAAGCACCCGCTGAGAACCGTCCTCTGGGAATCGTCAACGAAAATGATGCTGATCGAATGTTACGGCCAAGAAATGAACTTCCAACTAAGTTTGGTCGAGGACGACCAACAATAATTCGAACCGGAATGCCAGGTAGGCCTAAAAAGCAACGCAAATTAATAATCGACAAAGAAGCTCAAAATAACGAAGATGACCAGAATCCCGAAGCCACTCTCGACGAAGTTGAGATACCTCACGATGATCCAATCCAAATTCACGTGGAAGAGGAAGGAAACAACAATCAACAACCGAACGACAACGAAGAGATCGAATGGCACGATGCTGAATCAGCCATGAACGCATCTGAGATTCCATTTTCTCAGGCTCTCAGCGGACCGGATTGCAATCTTTGGAAGGATGCCATTTACTTGGAAATTAAAAGCCTCGTGATCAACAATACATGGAGGATAGTGGATAGACCACCTGGAGCAAAGGTGATCGGAAGCCGAACTGTTCTACGAAACAAATATACTGCTGAGGGAAACCTGGAACGGCGAAAAGCTCGAGTTGTCGCCCAGGGGTTTTCTCAACGCCCCGGTATTGACTTTCACGACACATTCGCACCAGTTGCACGACTTGGATCACTGAGACTTCTTATCGGATTGGCTGCAAAAATGGATCTAAACGTCTCACAACTCGACGTAACGACTGCATATCTGAACTGAAAGATCGACACCGAGATCTATATGGAGGTACCAAATTTGTTGAGCGAAATGTTACAGAGAATCGTCGAAGAAGAAGAGGACGCCGAACTGGTACAACGAGCAACCAACATGTTAATGAATCTACAAGGAGGAAACAAAGTTTGTAAACTCGTCAAATCAATATATGGTTTGCGACAATCGGGCCGTCAATGGTACACAGAACTCGATAGAACTCTTCGAGAAATGGAATTTACCCCTGCAGAAGCCGATCCTTGTGTCTACGTCGACAAGTGTGAAAAATCTTATTTATTGGTTTACGTGGACGACATTCTAATCATCACCAAGAATAAGAGCAGGGAGCGACAAATAAAGCAATCGTTATCTCAAGCATTCGACATCAAATGTGCTTCGTACTGTTTGGGGATATAAATCATTCGAGACCACGAGAAAATAAGTCTTTCTCAAGCAGGATATATCCGTGATGTTCTTCTAAAATTCGGAATGAATGACAGCAAGCCAACCACCACTCCTTTGGTTTTAGGAATCAAATTGTCAATCAACTCTGTTAATGACAAGGAAGGCAAGTCCGCTTTTCCTTTTCGAGAGCTCATTGGGGCGTTAATGTACATCGCCATTGGAACACGTCCTGACATCGCTCACTCGGTTAACATGTTGAGCCAATATAACAATTCCTACGAACGAATTCACTGGGTAGCTGCCAAACGTGTTTTAAGGTATCTTAAAGGTACCATGGACCTGAAATTGATCTACAAGAAGGATGACAGTCACCTAAAAGGATATGTCGACTCTGACTGGGGCAACTGCACCATCGACAGGAAGTCATTCACTGGATCAGTCTTCATCATGGGAGGAGCAGCCATTTCTTGGGAATCCAAGAAACAGCGAACGGTCGCCTTATCTTCCACTGAGGCGGAATATATGGCCCTCACCCACGCATCGAAGGAAGCCATTCATTTAATTGCCTTTTTAAATCAATTGAGGCTTCCAAAATTCGCCAGTGTTGAACTTTTTAACGATAATCAAAGTGCCGGTAAATTAGCCGTCAATCCAGTTTTCCATTCTAGGTCAAAACATATTGACATTAAGCATCACTTTATTCGTGAAACGTTAAATAATCACCCGATCAAACTAGTGTATTTGAGCACCGATCTCATGATTGCTGATGTCTTGACGAAGCCGTTACCAGGACCTAAACATTATTTTTGTGTAAAAGGACTCGGTTTAATGTGAGACTTATTCATTTAATTTTAGGCTCTCATTATAGGGAGAGTGTAAGTTTTATAATTTCGCGCCTTTTATATTTTTATCTTTCTTAGAGTGTCAACACTCTTCTTATATTCAGTAATTGGTAACTCTGATAGTTAGCGAATTCTCCTCGCTCAGCTTGTCGTTTATAAAATCTCATATTCACAAGTTCATTAATAAAACATTCATTTTGTGTGATCTAAAACTTTGCTCTTATTTATTTAATTACCTGCGGACCCTGTTTTCAGTTTAACAAAAATAAGTGGTGCACTATTTTCTCCTATACTTCTAGGAGTAGAATAAAGTAGAAAAATCACATTTGGTTAGAAGACGCGAACATTTGTTGACAAAAAATGAATTTCTTCTGAAAAAAATTGGAAAAAATTTCTAATTTTTTCCTTGACTAAAAATAAGTGGTGCACTATTTTCTTCTATACTTCTGGGAGTAGAATAAAGTAGAAAAATCATATTTGGTTAGAAGACGCGAACATTGGTTTAAAAAAATCAATTTTTTCTGAAAAAAATTGGAAATTTTTTTTAAAAAATTTCTAATTTTTTCCTTGACTAAAAATAAGTGGTGCACTATTTTCTCCTATACTTCTGGGAGTAGAATAAAGTAGAAAAATCATATTTGGTTAAAAGACGCGAACATAGGTTGCCAAAAAATGAGATTTTTCAGAAAAAAATTGGAAAAAATTATTTAAAAAATTTCTAATTTTTTCCTTGACTAAAAATAAGTGGTGCACTATTTTCTCCTATACTTCTGGTAGTAGAATAAAGTAGAAAAATCATATTTGGTTAGAAGACGCGAACATTGGTTGACAAAAAATAAATTTTTTCTGAAAAAAATTGGAAAAAATGTTTTAAAAAATTTCTAATTTTTTCCTTGACTAAAAATAAGTGGTGCACTATTTTCTCCTATACTTCTGGTAGTAGAATAAAGTAGAAAAATCATATTTGGTTAGAAGGAAAAAATTAAAAATTTTTAAAAAAATTATTTCTAATTTTTTCTGAAAAAATTGATTTTTTGCCAACCAATGTTCGCGTCTTCTAACCAAATATGATTTTTCTACTTTATTTTACTCCCAGAAGTATAGGAGAAAATAGTGCACCACTTATTTTTAGTTAAGGAAAAAATTAGAAATTTTTTAAATAATTTTTTCTAATTTTTTTCTGAAAAATCTGATTTTTTGCCAACCAATGTTTGCGTCTTCTAACCAAATATGATTTTTCTACTTTATTCTACTCCCAGAAGTATAGAAGAGAATAGTGCACCACTTATTTTTAGTTAAGAAAAAAATTAGAAATTTTTTAAATAATTTTTTCCAATTTTTTTCAGAAAAAATTGATTTTTTGCCAACCAATGTTCGCGTCTTCTAACCAAATATGATTTTTTTACTTTATTCTACTCCCAGACGCATAAGAAAATATAGTTTACTATTTATTGTTAGTCAAGGAAAAAAATAGAAATTTTTTTGTATATTTTTAAACTTATTTTATGCTGAAAATAATTAAATTATTTATTTATATTATTATACAATATTAATATTTCTTATAAACTACAATTATTAATTATTTATATAATAATGTAATTATATAAATAATAATCAATCATATATTATTTGTATTTGCTAATGATGTTTATTTTATTTTTGAATTTTAATTGAATTGTTTGCATTCCGTTAGAGCCAGCTGAGCGCCTGACGTTGGTTTTCTTTTGTTTTATTGCCAACACAAAATTTTTTAAAAATTAACTGGTTGCTGATAACTGGGTGCCAGTTTCAGCTTCATATTATAATCTAAAATTTTAACTGAAATCCATTTATAAATCAATTTTTATGAGAAAATTCTACGAGAATTTCATTATTTAAATAGAAAGAAAACAATTTATTGAAAATTTATTGAATAATTACATGTTTCTTAAAATTGAATTCTTTTAAAGAATAATTGTATCAATCAATTTTCAAATAATTTGAATTCTTTTGCAAAATTTTATTAAAATAGTAGATATTAAAAATAATTAAATTGAGAAAAATTTTTGAAAATAATTGAAATTTTTCCAAGAATTTTATTAAAATTTTTGAAAATAATTGATATTTCGGAGAAGAATTTAATTATCTCTAAAGATAATTGAAATTTTGACGAGAATTTTAAAAAATTTTTGAACATAATTGAATTTTTGCGAAGAACTTTATTACTTTTGAAAATAATTGAGCTCCTGCGGGCAATAACTCGATCTGCGCTTGAACTGAAAAATTCAAGCCAGTCAAGCCGTGAACAAATGAAAAAAAATAAAAGTCGGAATTTTTAATTTTAAAACATACTACCGTATAGAGCATAAAAATGCGCAACTTTTTTGTCTTTGAAATTTTTTTGTAGGACTTTTATTTTTAATAATAATGGAAAAAACTGAATTTTTTTTATTCTTCAATTTCAATGAATTTCAAAACATAAATCGACTTTTCTCAAAAAAATCTGCATGAAATTAATTAAAAATTGATATACTTACGTATCAGGGTCTACTGAAGACAATAAAATGATTAAAACATTTTAAAAAATTAATTGTAAAATTATTTGTTAATGTAAATAAAGACCTGTCGGTAAATACGTTTTCTCAACTTTGAAGAGAAAAAGTATGCGGTGAACTTTCGAGTTGACAAAACTTCCAGTGAGACATTTGTTTATTAACATGTCAAGAAGTTTTTTGGAAATTTTTATTTAAATCGGATGAAAAATAAACAAGATACATAATGTTTAAAAAAATATGCGTCGCGCTGCGTTTTGACATTTTGACGCGAAAGCTTTACGATAGGAGGAAATTATTGGAAACTATTGCTATTTTCTGTTGATTTATTTAAAAAATAATTTTATGCATGTATTGTATTTAAAATAAAACCAATTCTATACATTTATATATGATAGGCAGCTTTTTACGTTTTTTGAATCTTATTTCCAACTTTTAACTCAATCCAAGGTTAAGATTGTTTTGATGCACTATATACTGTGCATTAATTTAAACATAGCAGGTCCTTGTATTTTTTTGAAGAAAATACAGTTTACTTTATTCCTGTCGTTAAGTTTTTTTTAATAATCCATGTGTTTTAAAATTGAAAATTAATTGTAAATTAATAAAAAAAATTTAAATAATGTCAGAAGTAGAGTGTGTGCAAGGTGCTTCAAGAAAACGACCAAAAAAGTAAAACAATCAGATTAAGAATACACTGAGAAAACAATTTATTTAATTCAATCAAATTTCTTTTAAATCAAACTTAAAATATTTTTGCTTTACAGTCAAATAAATTTAAGTTTAATTCAAACATATTTTTTGGTTCATTTATAAAAATAATATATTTAATTTATGGTTGATTTTAAATTATTTATAATCAACTTTTAAGTTTAAATCAAACATAAAATTTTAAACGTAGGTATTTTTTGTTTAAACCAAAACAAAAAATATATTTGAATTAAACATAATTATTCAAACAAATATTATTTTTGAATCAAAGCAGTAGATATTTTCTATATATTAGGATTAAGCTTACAAACTAATTTAAATTAAACAAAATCAATTAAAATTATTTTTTTACTTGAATCGAGTATGTTTTCTCTGTGTAACACTTTTATTTATTATTTAATGTTTTAATCTGGTTTGAAAAACCAAACAGTATTAACAAATTTTTAAGAACAAAAGAATTTAAGTTATGTATATATTTTAAAAAGTCAGATATATTAATAATAAAATTATTTTTTAAATAAATCAACAGAAAATAGCAATAGTTACCAATAATTTCCTCCTATCGTAAAGCTTTCGCGTCAAAATGTCAATCCGCCGCGCGACGCATATTTTTTTAAACATTATGTATCTTGTTTATTTTTCATTCGATTTAAATAAAAATTTCCAAAAAACTTCTTGACATGTTAATAAACAAATGTCTCACTGGAAGTTTTGTCAACTCGAAAGTTCACCGCATACTTTTTCTCTTCAAAGTTGAGAAAATGTATTTACCGACAGGTCTTTATTTACATTAACTAATAATTTTACAATTAATTTTTTTAAATGTTTTAATCATTTTATCGTCTTCAGTAGACCCTGATACGTAAGTATATCAATTTTTAATTAATTTCATGCAGATTTGTTTGAGAAAAGTCGATTTATGTTTTGAAATTCATTGAAATTGAAGAATAAAAAAAATTCAGTTTTTTCCATTATTATTAAAAATAAAAGTCCTACAAAAAAATTTCAAAGACAAAAAAGTTGCGCATTTTTATGCTCTATACGGTAGTATGTTTTAAAATTAAAAATTCCGACTTTTATTTTTTTTCATTTTTTGACGGCTTGACTGGCTTGGATTTTTCAGTTCAAGCGCAGATCGAGTTATTGCCCGCGGGAGCTCAATTGAATTCCTTCAATCATTTGTAATTTCTCTAAAACTATCCAAATTATATCGTATAATTTACGTACTTTACGGACCTTTTTCAATCGAATTACGGACTTTACGGACCTTTTTCAAAAAACGGACTTTTACGGACTTCAAGCAAAGTTACGGACTTTTACGGGATTTACGGACCTAGTTCGAGCCCTGTGTTATATCGACCGAGTGTTAGTGCAGTTTGCGTGTTGTCCCGATAGATGGCGCCACAACTTAGTCGTTTGAATTTTGTATTTCGCGGGCAACGATGGCGCCATATTGTTTACACTAATAAGATTATTAAAATTTTAATAGATGGCGCTTGTAAAAGTTGTTAAAATCTATTATATTAAACATAACCTTAAAATATATTGTATTAAATATAAGCTTAAAATCCATTGTATTGAACATAACCTTAAAATCTATTTTATTAAACATAACCTTAAAATGTACACCTTATTATCTAACGTAATACTAATGAAGGTATTTAATTAAATACAGTATTAATGACATTTTATACATTTATTATATTGAATATACAATATTTATACTTGTTTTATTTTAAATTCAATATGG